CCTGGTCCTGGTCCTGGTCCTGGTCCTAGTCCTGTCTCTGGTCCTGGTCCTGGTCCTGGTCCTCCTCTGGTTCTGTTTCCCCTCCGGCCTGAACCCCTCTGTCTCCCGGCAGGTTTGAGAACGAGATGGCCATGCGCATGTCTGTGGAGGCCGACACCGCGGGGCTGAGGAAGGTCCTGGACGACCTGACCATGAGCCGCTCGGACCTGGAGATGCAGGTGGAGGGCCTGAAGGAGGAGCTGGTGTTCCTGAAGAAGAACCACGCCGAGGTGAGCCACGTCTGTGGTTAAAGGGAACGGAAAATCCACACGAAACCCGTTATCCTGTCTGTGGTTAAAGGGACTGTGTAGTATTATAGTATTTTATTAGCTAAAGTCATGTTCTTCGTTTCTAAATGTTCCTCATTTGGTGTAAAATGACCTCTGACATGATCTGACTTCTCCTCATGAGGAAGAATGTACGTACACAGGACGGGTAAACACAGAGGTTTCCATGGCGATCCGCCATTTGAAAAGCCATAATGGCAGAGAGGGACATAAAGCACTAGTCTAATACTAGCTAGCTAATTCACAACGAGTTTTCCTCCAGTCACATGACTGAAACCAGCTCTAACAAAGCACCTTTATCCAGAAATAACCAGATATAGAATATATCACTACTGATGAGCTCAGTTCAGCTTTGATTGAGACTGTAACATTCGTTTGTTCATTGTGTCCAGTTGTTAGCTAACGCTAGCTACGACATGGGCTAGCAATGCTAAGATACAAACAAAAAAAAACAAGCTAACATGGCAACGTGATTGTCCATGTTGTTGGAGGAGGCTCATGTTGAACAGGGATTTACTCTGATAACAACTTAATGGTTAGGACACAGACCTGTGGGTTACAGATGCTAACGCTAATGCTAATGCTAATGCTAATGCTGGTGTGGGATCGAACTTCTCCTGCCGGCCGATACGCTGTTTTTTTTTAGAAAATCGGCGGCCGATCCGATCCAGATATCGGACCGGGACCGGCCTAGTCTGGACCCTCACCCCTGTCCCCCTCTGTCACGTCTGGGGTAATGTCTGGTGTGTTGTCATGTCTTGATCACCTATTGTGTACACCTGGGGTTCCCCTCCCTCATGTGTTTAAATAGTCCTCGTTTCCCATGTCCTGGGCCATTTCGTTTTCGTCCTTCTTGTTGCGTCTCTCGTCTCCCCATGTCACGTAAGGTTTTGCTATTTGCCACAGTCTTGTTAATCTTTATTTTGTTACTTTGTCATAGCCACAGTTTTGCCACAGCCTTGTTTTTGACCCTTGTCTGGACTTCCACCTTTTGTTACAATAAACCC